ATATCCCTCAAATAAAACACCTAGAGTGATGCCAAAATTATAAAATGTATTAAAAATTGCCTAAAATGAGCTAATACTCTTTTATTAGTTACCAAAAGTTGGAGCTGACTGCCCGCCCCCTTTTTGCGCACCTGCCCCGCTCCGTCCCCTGTGGTCACGTCTGCCGTGGCGTGGTGTGAAACTCAGAGGATGGCTGAGGGTAAAGGCTTCAGACCGGGGAGAGCAGATTCAGCGACGGTCTCAGGTGAGCGTCCTGCTCTGCCAGCCTCTAGCCCGGCGCCGGAACTTGTCTGTGGAAAGTGGGGCAGGGGCGTGTGGGGGGCTGTCCCGCCTTCCTGTCCGCGTCACGCCCGACTCCTAGGCGCCTGCACGCTGACAAACGCGGACACCCGCATGCACGCACAAGAAAACGGGGCCCTCTGCGTAGCCTCTGCGGCTCCTCCTCGCTGTCCGGCGGCCCATGCAACTCTCGGCAACCTCGGGGCCTCGCGAGCCGCACACATCGTCGGGTCACCATGGGTCACTCCCCTCCCCTGAGGCCAGTGAGCATCACAGGATGTTGGAAATTTCATGTGGGGGCACTTTGGAGGGCATCTGGTCAAGCCCTCTTTACCCACTGGCTGAGAGAGGCGCCCGCTGACCTACCCCTGCCTGCGGTCATTGCCTTGTCCTGTCCACTCCGACCTGCGCCTGTGGGCCTCACCGTCTGCGTGTAGCTGGGCGCATGTGCCTTGGAGCAGACCCATTTCTGACTACTGCCTGGTCAGACTTTCCAGCCCCACCTTTCAGCCCATGGGGGCCCCACGTGCAGTTCTTTGGCAGCCAGGCCCCCTTGCTCCCCAAGTTGCCCCCAGCCTGGGCTCCCTAGTACGTCAGCCTTCGGGATTTCCGCAGAGCCTCACCTGCCTGCTCACTTCTGGGCCTGCTCACGTATTTACTGGCTGTCTCCACCCAGCGGCCTGGTCTGCCAGGCCCTCCACCACGCCACACGCAGAGCAGAGCAGGGCCTGGCATGGGCGGGTGCTCTGCAGACATCTGTCAGGAGTGACCCTTGATGGAGAGACAAGCAACACTCAACCCCCCCCAAGTGCACCTTCCCCTCCTGCTGCGGGTTCTCACCTGGTGGGGACAGGGCACCCTGGCAGTGGGGGGTGAGAGAGGCAGGGCAGGCCCACCTCCCCTTGGTGGCCTGGGTAGGCCAGAGCTGGTGAAGACCAGGCGAGACCCTGTGAAGCACCCGTGAAAACAAGCGAGCCCCAGAGACGACCCCGGATGCTGTATGGGGCCCTGGGGGTGCTTGACTCACAGCTTCACAAGCCTCCAGAGGCAGGAAACATCTAGAAATTTCCTTAGGCTTTTCCTTGAGCAGGGGTTTATTTCAGGCCAGTACCTAAAATTCAGGTGGCTGGACACAACAGGGCTACCACGCCCTCAGTGGGCCCAGTTCGAACCCGCAGGCGGGCGTGTGTGCGGGCTCTTCCTGGAAGGCGGCCTCCTGTGCTTGCCCTCCCCAGCCCTCACTGCAACGTGACACCTTCGCACAGGACTCTGCTCCAGCCTAGAGCTGCCCAGATTCCAGAACATGTCACAGCAGAGGCCTTGGAGGTGACGTAGTGTCAGAGGTCATCTTGGGCAGGTTTGCAAGACCGCAAAAGGGAGCCTTCATGTGGACGCTCCTGTATCTCAGGCCCTTTCCACAGCTCACATTTTTCTTTCCAAATCCGATATCTGAAAAAATAGTGAATCCAGATGCCCGTTAATGTTCGTAGCAGTTTTATCCGGAACAGCCCGAATGGGACTGAGCCCACGTGGGCTTCGGCGGGTGAGCAAGCCCACTCCCTGCGGCCCCTCCCCACCAGCCAGCAGGAGGGACGGCGCCCTGCTGCAGCACAAGGGGTCTCGGGCATACGCTGAGTTAGAGCCCGTCCCCAACGCTGCACACATGCCGTACGATTCCACTTCAGCCACGGAGGACAAGTTCAAGGGAGCTGGGGTCGGGGGAGGGAGTGACGCGGGTGTAGGTATAGGACGGCAGCGCCAGAGACCGTCGTGGAGACAGGGCTGTCCCGGATGTTGACACACCAACCCGCCGGTGACGAGAGCGTACGACACGACACGCACACACTGGGCACGGTGCAGCGCAGCGGGAAGAAGGTGGGTGCATCGTCTCCGTGCGAGATGTCGCTCTGTATCATTTCTCACGATCGCATGTGACTACAATCATCGCAATAAGAAATTTCAATTAAGCGATAACATCTACAAACAGGCTAAAATTTAATACAATAAACTACTTTTCAATGCGGCTCTATATCTCGAGCACGAAGGTGGACTACACTAACTTAACATCATGTCACTTTTGCTTCTCTTTCTGCGTTTCTATTTGCAGACGTATTTATATTTGAAAGTAAGTTGAAGAAATCCAGACACAAAAAAATCAGCAGCACCTCCTAAGATAAGGCCTTTCTCCTAGGCCGTCACCCAACAACCGACAGTCACGGGTACAACAACATTATCTAGTACACGGCCCATGTTAGAATTTCCCTGGTCCCCAGACGGTCCTCTAGAGCTGACCGTCACATCGGCTTGGCCGTCGTTGCTTTGCACCCCGTTCATCGACTTCAGTCCGTCCATCCTGGGTCTGTTTTAACTTCTCAGGACACTGACATTCGTGAAGCATCCAGACCTGTTTCCTTTAGAATCTTCCACAGGCTGGATTTGCCTGAGACTTTCTTGGGGTTAAATGTTTTGGGACAATGCAGCAGTATAGATGACAGCCCATCAGAATATCCAAGACATCAGTTCGTCCTGTCATGTGGGGATGTGACATCTACACTCTTTGTCTGCCAGATTCTTCCAGGTCCTTTGTAGAGTGAATAAGCCATAAATAGGATGTCTCCCCGGTAGCCACTTACCCAACAGTTTTGTCAGTGACGGTCCCTGCCTAAGCCCATCATTACATTTACCGTGACAAAATCATGACTTTTGTTGACTGAAAAACGATATCACCTAGGTGTTTTGTCACCAAAAGGATTTATTCGGGAAAAAGGATTTATGCAAGCCGGTACATGCAGACGGCAAGCCTCGTGCACACTCTGGCCGGCGTGTCAAGACGGGGGGCATTTATCCGAGGGAAAAGGAAGCAGACGGAAGGGGAAGTTAGAGCCACCGAGCCTTCGAATAAACAGAGTTCTTTCTGCAGGGCTCACGATTACGCGGGGCGTGAGACCTGCCCTTAGCCCCAGCTCCTCCCATCGCCCCCTTACTGATTGTGTTTGCCTCAACTTCTGGTTCGTCTTTAACACCTCCCAATTTTATCATTTCTTTTACATGTAATAGGCATTTTTTTTTTTTTTTTGGTCAAGAAAGGCTTCCCCTCCTTTTAAAAAAAATCCTTAAATATTAACATGAATCCATAGATTCTCTGTTTATGCAACTATTGTTTTCGATGCTCACATTGATCCAAATTGGGCCAGTGAGACCCCCTTCCAGCTGGCTTCAGTATTCCATTTTGGGGGGGTGGGATGGTTTTTATTTTTACGTTATTTCAAACTTAGAAGGCGTTTTCAAAAACAACACAAGGCGCTCCCGCGCACCTTTCAGACATCGCTCATTTCCATTCGCCTCGTTATTCCTCTCTCTCCACAGATACAACACTCTTCCCAAGCATTTGAGAGTGAGTTGGAGACGTTGCCTTTGCCACTAAATACATCAGTGTTCGGGCCGCCCTCTCGTAGAACCGCCAAACTGTGACGCGACATCGCACCGGGAAACCCGACCCCGGTGCCACACTCCGAGCTGACCCGCCCTCCCCCGTCTCGCTCTCATCTTTCCTGCTTCCTCTGTCGACGTAAGAAAGGTCCAAACCTTTGAAGGATTTTTAGGAGTCTGTTTGAACCAAACTGATGACAATGGCCGACAAGCGAAATCTCAATGGATTGAGAAATTGCTCCGGAGAATGGCGGGTTCGCAGCTTCTTTTATACGTTAGAATCAAAGGAGGGGCCCGCACGAGGGTTCCATGAGGTCCTTGGGTGCTGGCTTAGGGGCCGCGGGAAAGCGAGGTGGGAAGTGTCTGGGATTGGATAAGAGTAGACGAGGGACACACTTCTTCTGCACAGGTCAGCACATGACAGAGAGTAATTAACATTTGCAGCACAGAGAGACTGGAATGCGGGCAATGAGGTCACGGCGGAGGGTCTGTGCTCTGCGCCCCGCTGCCAGGGGCTGTGCCTTCAGGGCTCCGGAAAAGCAGGTCACTCAGACATTCCAACGTCATCTTGGACACACAAAGACAGCCGACAGGCTCCCGTGACGTGAAGACTGACCTTTGTTGAGGGAGCCACAGGCATAAGATGTGACTACGTCCACGACCCGCTTTTGGTTAGGGACTTCCTGCTCGGCCCGTCCTGTGTGGCCGCTTTGGTCTCAGGTTTGCAGGGCCCACCATGCAGGCCCCCCAGACATGTCAGGGGGAGCTCGTGCCCTTTTTCGTCCACGCTTTTGACCTGTTCCCATGACCCCGTGCACACCCTCACTTCTGCCTCACCGAACCGAGGCCTCCCCTGAGGCCAGAGCATCCCCTGCCCCAGCCCTTCAGAGAGGAGTGGGCTTTAGAAACCAAGGTCTGGAGCTGAGTGTGCTCGCAGCTGCTGGGGCGCCTCTGCTTCCGAGGCCGTCCCAGAGCACAGAGCTGGCACCCTGAGTTCACCCGGCTCGCTCTCACTCCGAGCCGCCCCTCGGTTTCTTCCTCCTCTTCCCGCATCCAGCGTTTGTATTTGGTTGATTCGTATGAAATTGCCAACATTCTACAAAAAATGGCCATGCCACACGGTTCGGCTGAACACCCCCTTCTCCATAGTGAGAACCCTCGCTCTTAGTACATGAAGATATTTTTTTGCTCTATTCCAAAATACTCTCCAAGTAGCTTCGGAATTCCTCCAGCCATCCTGCTACCAACCACAGACCCACTAAGGAAATTTCAAGATCCATTTGTAGTTATTTCTGTCCTCAGATTATATCCCACTAAAGAAGTACAGAGTGTTGTGTTCGAAAGTCCTTCGCGTGAATTCTGGTTGGTGTTTTCCGCTGCGTGGTCACGCTGATTTCACACACAGTTCGGCTCATGTATTTCTAAACAGTTGATGAACATCGATACATTACTGCATTTTAGCGTCTTTTTTCATCCTATTCGACTTAATGTTATGTTTCGATTATGCAAAATATTTATTTCATTCAAAAGTGATACATATAAGACCAGACAGCCAGAATAAGATGACTTCCTCCCTGTCCATTCCCACTCACCCCCCAGAAAGCCGTCTTTCAGGGCTGGGGTGACCCTCCTGTCCGTCTTTCAGGGCTGGGGTGACCCTCCTGTGTTCCTTTTTGCAAAGATGAGCACATGCGCGTATCAGGAAGCTGAGGGGACACAGATGCACATTGTTCCTTCTCACACAACAGGTGACGCAGGACGGACCCTCCTCGTGTGTTCTCTTCACCACAGCCCTCCCACGACCCCGCTCAGGACCACCTCCAGCACACAGCGTCCCCGGGAGGGACATAATGTAGGATGTCGCCGTGGCCAGCAGCCCAGGGTGCGGTCAGGGCACAAGGCTCAGATATCCCTGCCTGCACCGTCCTGAGCTTTGAAACTTCCTGGCTGCCTAGACCTCTGCTCTTCATCTGCAAATCAGCGGCGAGAGCGCCAAATTCTGGGGACACGGAGGCTCAGCGCAGGTGAGGCCCGCAGGATATCACAGGCATGCAGGGCGTCCCCAGTGGGCTGCGGGGAGCCCAGAGCCCGGCCAGAAGGCAAGTTTGGGGGCCTCGCCCCAGGCCACACAGACCCCCCTCAGGTCTGGCCAGGCTGGACCTAAATGCTGGGGGCGGGTGACAGGCATCACGTTCCCGTCATCATTAATGGGACCGGGACTGTATTTTCCAAAGAAGCTCTGTCTCAAACTGGTTTTATTAGGACCTCAGGTCATGTGTGACAGGTAAAAACATCCCCAGATGGCTTGGCAACCGGTGTCCCCTTACCTGTCTCCTTGGGAAAAGGTGTGGCTCATTCACAGAGCAAGTGGCTTCTGAGGGCGCCCTCTGTGCGAGGCCCTGGGGGGAGGCACAGCCCCTTCGCCACACCACACTTACAATCCAGCCAAACGCACTTGAGGCACATGTACGTGAGTATGCGTGTATGTTAATATATACATATGTATATATATAATTGTGGTAAAGTTGCATTTTTAATTTATCTTAAAATCTACTTTCCAATATAGATCCTTCTAGAAATTATCTGTATCATCAATAAGGCAGCGACTTCCCACTGTCCAGTGCCCGCCCGCACCTTTTCCTTGTTCTCTGCCCCCGACCTCATGTCGCCTCTGCCCCTGCCTCCAGAAGATGAGCCTGCTGTCTCGTCCTTGTGTCCCCTCTCAGGGAGAGGGCTCTGTCGAGTGAATTTGTGACCACCGTGGACCCCTCCTACACCACCCCCTGCCCCATGCGTAGAGCTGTCCCCCATCTAGTATCAATTAGTGGCCTCCAGGCAGAGCGGACACCTGGGCAGGATAGAACCTCAGCTCACACTCACCTGTGCAAGAGAGGTCACACTATCGATTTCACGAAACGAGAGTCTAAGTGGCCACCCTGCCAGCGGGCAGAACAGTCGACGCCCTCGACGGGGCCCCTGCTGAGCCTCGCTGGCCTCCTCTGAGACACGCAGCACGACACCCAGGTGGAGGCCGGTGGTGCCCCCGCAGAGCACGCTCAGCACCGTCCCCATCTGAGAGGCAAATGCAGCGGGGTCTGGACAGGGCAGGGATGGCCACCTTCCAGCTCCTCCCGCGGGCACCCTCCCTCCAGGCGGCTTCACAGCTGTTCCCAGGATCTGCTTTGAATTAAAACATGGCGTGGCCCTTTAAGAGAAGCATCCGCTGCCCCGCCGCCCGCCACCCCGCCGCCCCCTTTGATGTCGCTGGCGCTGAAAGGTTCCCAGGGGCGAGATCTGAGGGTTTGTTTCTGCCTCCCCAGAGGCCACGTGCGGATCACAGGGTGGGAGGGAGGGTGGGCCGAAGGTCACATGGCGGGCCGGCCTTGCTGGCCTGCAGCCGCTGGTGCAGTAGGCGCTGGGGACCAGCAGGCTGCACAGATGGGGACCAGCCGGCCTGGAGCCTCTTAGGGCGCAGCAGAGCCAGCAGCTGGGAGAGCTGGAGCAGCACTGTCTCCGGCCCTCCCCGCGAGGCCTGGGGCAGTCCGACCTCCCCCGTGCCCTTCCTCACCTGTACGGTGAGGGGCACACGCTGGCACCCTGGGGACTCCCGCAATACCCCAGAGGCCCCGTCTCCACCATGTGCAAGAAGGCCCTCCCATCCCCACGCCCGTCCTTCCCCCAGCTCTGGGATGTGGCATCTCCAGGTGGACCCTGGCGCCCCAGTTACCCTGGGTCAGTGCAGGCTGGCACCCCGGAGGGTCCGTGGGCATGGGGAGGGTGGAACGGGGCAGGGGTGCTGAGAGGCGAGCACATTCTGCCAAGTGACTGGTAGGGTCCGAGGTCCCCAGGGGTTGAGCCTGGGCGGGAACACCCTGCCTTAGTCCTCTGTTCACCGGCCGGGGGGCAAAGGGGCAGCAGAGTGACCAGAGCACCTGGGACTCAGCTTCTACCCGCAGCCCTGGGGGTGCTCACCCCTAAAGGAAGGGGCTCTGCCTCTCGGGTGCTCTCCGTCCTAGGTGAGGGGTGTGTGGGGTCCCTTCTGCCTGGTGGCCCCGAGGCTGCCCGTGCCGGGCCTGCAAACGCCCATCTGGTTCCCAGCATCAGGCCGAGGAGCTATCCGAGAAAGGCCTGGAGCTGACCTAGTGGTCTCAGCCCTCCACCCCCGGCCCCCACACGAGACAGCTCCAGGCGAGTGGCTTTGCTCATCAAGGTCCCAGGAGAGGAGGCTGATGGGGGTTCCTGCGAATGAATGGGGGGCCATGGGGAAACCAAATGGGGATTCAAACCCTGAGATTGCACGGCCTGGCCCCAAGGCCCCCCCGCCGGCTCAGAACCAACAGTGAGCGCTTGGCTGCCTGGGGAGCAGGGCCTCCCTAGGGGTGAGCCGCTGGGGGGAGGGGGGTAGTCTGCCCTGCTTCCCTGCCCTCGTGGGCCCCAGAGGCCGGCAGCTGGGGCTCGCAGCCGCCCAGGTGGCTGAGCGAGGCGGGGCGGCGGAGGCCAGCCGGCAGCAGCTGGGCCCCAGACGGCAAGCAGCAGCTGGAGCACAGAGCTGCCCTCACGCCGTGTGAGCCCCCAGGCCCAGGGCCCTCAAGGGGCCCCAGGAGGGAGCCGGCTGGCCATGCGATATGGGGCAGTCCCACACCCCATCGTGGGCGCTGGATATGGAGCTGCTGGACATCCTGAGGCCGTGAAGGCCAGGTGACCGGTCCCCGGTGGGACCCCTTGTGCCACTGGCTGCCCTCCCACCCACCTCTCTCTTCCTCCCACTGGCCTGGGCCCCAAGCCTGTCCCGACCTGAGCGCTAGCTCTAGTTTCCAGAACGTTCCATTTCTGACACTCTTTTTCCAAGAATTGGGCACGTGTCCCCACGCGGACCACAGCTCCCACTGGTTAGCTCTGTGCTCCTCTGGGACCCTGGCTCCTCCCTCAGAGCTTCCTCCCCAGAGGACCAGCCCCCCTTGCACCCCCATCCTACACCCTCCAGGCTCTCATTTTTCCAGGCAGGGACCTAAGCTCTGCCGGAAGCCACGACCACTCGCCCGAGTGGGAGCCAGGAAGCACTGCTCCTCCCCTGGCTGTGGCAGTGGTGCAGGCCCATCAGAGGAGGGTGAGTCCCGTGTCCAGTGTCCGTGCTGTCCATGGCCCCTGGGACCACTGCAGTGAAGCAACTGGGCCATTGTTCCTGCTCCTCGTCCCCAAGCCTGAGTGTCCGCCCTCCAGACATTCCATGAGCCCCCTGTGCCATGGACGGCAGCCTACTTTGGTCCCTGAGGGGTGGCCAGAATCCGCCCGAGAGTAGTCACATCACCTATCACGTGCTCACTGTTCCTGCACGTCCTGTCTCGTTCATGCTCCCATGACCCTCGGAGGCACGCACAGGTGAGGGACCTGGGGCCCAGAGACCCGGCCTTGGGCCCAGCGGGGGCAGAGCCAGGCCCTGGGTGCAGAATCGGGCACTACCATGTCCCCCATGTGCGGTCCCGTAGCCTTCTGTCTAATGAGCCACTGGGGGCACGAGACATCCCTCGGCCCATGAGGATTTCTAGAACGAGGCCAGCCCACCCAAGGCACTCCGTTCACCTGGCACCGCAGTCACCTGGGGCCTGGCGTTCAGCCCACTGACCATTGCTGCCTGACACACCAGTGCTTTTTTTAAGGTAAAATTCACGTGACGTAGAACTACTCACTATAAAGTGAACGGTTCACGGCGCTTAGCACACTCACAATGTTGTACGCCCACCACTGCAATCAATTTTAGAACATTTTAACATTTTCATCACCCCAAAAAGTAGCTCTGTCCCCATTGGCAGTCACTTCCATCCTCCCTGTGCCCCCGGCAACCAGTAGTCTGCTTCCCGTCTGTGGCGGTGCCCGTTCTGGACATTTCCTATCAATGGGATCACACGACGCGTGGCCTTTGTGTCTGGCACATCTCACTGAGCGGAATGTCTTCAAGGTCCATCGTGTTGCAGCAGGTGTCAGAGCCTTTCCATGACCGGCTACTGTTCCACGGGCTAGATGGACCCCGCTACATCTATCCAGCCTTCACGGAGGGACATCTGGGTGTTTCCATCTTTTGCTGACCGTGAATAGAGCTGCCGTGAACATTCATGCACGAGCTTTTGTTTGCACACCTGTTTTTAATTCTTGTGAGGATAGGGGTGGGACTGCCGGGTCACACGGTACTCTAACGCACTGGGAGCCGCCAGGCCGCAGGGTGCTCGTCCCCAGCAGCCGTGCACGGGTCCCAGTTTCTCCACATCCTCGCCGACACCTGTTATTTTCCATGTTTTTGATCACAGCCATCCTGCTGGGTGTGGGGTAGGATGTGACCCAACGCTGTTCAAACCCGGGTCCCCCTCCTCCCTGGTCAGGGCCGCAGTGGCCGCTGGGCTGGGCGCAGGCAGCCTGGGAGCAGAGGCCTGGCTCGCTGGACCCCACCGGACTTCAGGACTGAAAACCGAGTGTGGGAGTCCGAGGCGCAGAGGGCAAAGCTAGCCTCTGGGGAGGGGACGCAAGGACAGAGCCGGTCTGTCCGAGTCAAGAGGAAGACGCGGTGAGAGCAGCCAGCGTGTCTCGGGCCGCCAAGGAAGAGAAACGGGGCAGGGGGAGGTGGCACACGGGCCGGGAACGCTGGGGCGGCTGGTTTGAGCGTCTTCACCCCGCTAGTAGTCTGCAGTGAACGCCGACAGGAACTCATTTGGGTCCAACGTGCAGGCTAAATCGCATTACAGCAAACGCCAGGGAATGTAACGTGTATGCTCGTCCCCGATCCCGGAATGTCTCTGGCGGTCATAGCTGCGTGCTGAGCGCCTTCACGCATGGGCTCCCGTAATCCCACAACGGCCCTCTGACGGAGGTACGGTCATTGCCCCACTTTAAAGAGGAGGAAACGGAGGCACAGAGAGAGGTCACGGCCCAGCCCGGGACCCCCCGCCGGGACTCGGCTCCGAGCCGGGTGAGTGTGGAGGCCAGGCAGCCATGCCGCCCAGCCGGGAGCGGCATTTCCTGGCCTGGGACTTGGGGTAACAGTCCGGAGGTGGAGGGTTCTCCCCAGTGCCTCGGTCGGCGGGGGTGGGGAGCGCACAGCTGGAAGGGACTGCAGGGACTGTTCAGTCGCAAGCCTGGCCCTTAAACCAATCCCGCGACATGGTATCTGCAGCGTGAACGTCCAGGTGGACGCAGCGTGGACGCAGCGATACCGTCGGCTTCCCTGAGCCTCAGTTCCCCTCATCAGGAAAGTAGACACACAGCCACCCCTGGGAGGACCTGTCCTCTCCTGCATCGAGTGACCTCAGCCCAGGCTGACCTCCAGGGCCGCCCAGCCTGACCTGGGGCTTTGAGGTCTACGTGACAGCACCTCACAGCCCTCAAATGCTCACGCGGCCCCTCCTGAGGGCCCTGTTCGGTGTCCCTCTGAAAGACTGCGCTCTTTCAGAGCCTGCCCAGGGCAGCCTGCTGGGTGTGTGCAGGGTGGCTGTCATAACTTCCTAATCTGCAGCTCATCAGCCAGCCCGAGGACTGGAAAGGACAAGGGGCCCTGTAGCCCTGTCGCCCGCGGACTGTGAGGGCGGGGCGCCTCGGCCTCTCCGGCTTCCTGCAGGTGCCTCGCCTCCCGGGGTACACAGCCTCCCCACTGCCCTGAATCAGGAGGGGGACTCAGGAAGGTCTGCCCAGGTCCAGACCCCTGTCCCAAAAGGCGAGGCCTGTTTCCTGTCTTTACAAAAAGTGTGCCGGCAGCCACCGGGCTGCAGATGGGGGCGGGGCGGGGGCGATGGCAAGAGGTCCACCATGGCTGCTGGCACTTCAGGGGCGTGGAGGGTGAACAAATGCGTTCCTGTCTTTTGTCTCCCCACCCACCGGGTAGAAACCTACTAAGTAAACACCTGCCTCTCTCATTTTGATTTCTGACAAAGAATCTCCTTCTGTCTGCGGAGAGATACGTGAGGTGCGCTGCGAAGGTGAGCTGCGCTGCGAAGGTGAGCTGATGGGCAGGTACCGCGTTTCGTGGAGGTCACTGAGCAGACACCAAGCCGGGAGCTCTTCCATCCTCTCCTCCCCCCCAGTGGCCCCGGAACAGGGAGAGATTTGGGGGCCCCTCCCGGGGGCGCGCTGCGGCCAGGACACACAGGGGGGGGATCCAGGACCCCACCCAGGCTCATCGACCTCGGAAGGTGACAGCGCCCCCTCTGGCCCCACTGCCTCCGAGGGCCGCAGAGAATCTGTCCACCCAGGCGGAGGACAAGACGACTCCCCCAGGCTCCCTGCAGGGGCACGTGGTCCCTCGGGCAGGTCGCCTAGGGTGTCCGAACTTTGCGCCACACCTGTCCGCTTCTCCGGGAGGCCCCGGGCGCCGCTACTGCCCTTCGACGCGGAGCCCTGTGCCCGCTGTCGCTTTGATCCCGGGGGCCCCGCTGGATAAAAGTCCCGGGCGTCTAGGCGCCAGCGTCAGAGGGGCAGGCAGCCGA